TCAAGTGTTGGATGCTTGGAGGGATCGGAGCTTGGTGGTGGGGAGGGGGGGGGGCTAAGGGAGGGGATGGGGGGTAAATGATGAGGGATAGTGATGAAGGAAGGATGAATAAATGAATTAATGAATTAAATGAGAGTGGTAAATAAATTGAGGAAATTATGAGATAATGATAAATAGATGAGTGAAATAATGAAATAACAATGATGAATGAAATGCTATAATAGCAATGATAAATAACTGAATTAAGCAATGGGATAACAATAATAATTGTCAACAGACTAGTAAAAAACGGAGATTAAGAAATTAATAAATATTTTGAGGAACTAATAGAATAAGATGAGAGATTGGTAGATAAATAAAATTATTTCCTTTCATCATATTTTGCATGGAAAGCTGTAAAAAAGGCAAAAGAAGAAAAAAAGAGAAAAGAAAAATGAAAGAGAATAGAAAAGCGGTAATGATTTTGTCCGTTTCTGTGAAAATAAATCACTAATGATAAGTGAATAAAAAAAGACATATGTAGGAGTTTAAAAATTAGAATTTAAGTGGTAAATAAGCAAAAATAAGCAAAAAGTATTAAACAAGCAGAGAATAAAGTGTAGGAGCATTATTGTGGAGAACATCTATCTATCTTTAAAACCGCATCTCACGCCCTCTACGTCCTGTGTTTGTGCAGAGCGAGACGGCGGGTGGCAGGAGCTTATACGAACGCCTCAAGGGAGAGATAGCGAATCTTCACAACATCCGGGTGGATCAGGTGGATATCTTCACCCTTCGGGATGTGGATGGCGGTGTGGATGTCAGATATAACTGCCACAGCTCTCCTTACTATTCCACCGTTCGACTCAATGCTGTCATGATGCAGCGAAGAGAGAGGGTATGGCATCGCTGTGCTTTGTAATCCGACATCAAAGTGAAATGTTACTCTTTGTGATTATGGTGTAAAGGATATTTAATGGGTTACTAGCTTTTTTGAATTTGATGGTTTTTTCCTTTACTGATATATTTTTCTATATAATGATTTGACTTTTCTATATGATGTTTCTTTTCCCAGGTGGCGGAGTCTCTGGGTGTTGAGATTCCGCTGATCGACATGAACCTGTGTCTGCTCGAGGGCCTGTCCCCGTGCGGCGACCGGAGCTGCCAGCACACGATGCGCCCGAACGGCGGCGTCGTCGCCGGCGAGACCGCCACCATGGTCGGGCTGGACATAACGGACGACTACATCTGCGGCTGCGGCGAATTCGTGGCTTCAGGATGCTCGGAGGACTACTGCTTCAACGGCGGGACTTGCCAGGAGGTGAACAAGACCCTCTCGTGCGCCTGCCTGGACGACAGCAACTACGGCCCGCGCTGCGAGCTGATGACGGCGAGGTTCGAGCGCGGCTTCGCCTGGTACGAGCCGCCGAGCGCCTGCGAGAACTCGTCCCTGTCCATGGTGTTCGAGACCAGCGACGCCAGCGGGGTCCTGCTCTACACGGGCCCCACGGTGCCACGCCCCTGGCCGGGATACCCGAAGGACTTCCTGTACGTGTTCCTCAACCAGTGGACGTTGGAGGCGTACCTGGACCTCGGCTCCGGAACGCTGAACCTCGCCATTCCTCTGGAGGAGAACTACGAGAGGACCTTCGAGCTGGTGCTCTCCTGGGGCAGGGACGAGGTCGTGTTCGAGGTGATAGACTGCGGCGTCAATGCGACGAAAGAGGATCCCGTTCCCTGCAGGAGGTCCTTGTTCCTCCCGGGGACGTCGAGGAGCCCGAGCCACCTGCTGAACGTCCAAGGGCCCCTTCAGCTCGGCGGGATAGCCTCCATGGCGAGCTTCCGGAGGCTCTCGGCGTCCTACCGATGGACGCTCACGCCCCCCGCGGTGCTTCCCTTCTCGGGCTGCGTCTTCGAGCTGCGCCACAATGACTACCTGTACGACCTAAACGCCACGGACTACCACAAGATGACCTTCCACCCCTGCGACGCGCCCAGGGCGGCCAAGGTCGTCTTGGGCCACCAGCCCGCCACCATCATCTTCGCCAGCGTCCTCTGCCTGCTGCGTGAGTGGCCCTTCAAGGGCGGGCCTCCGCTGGTCCGGTAGCTTTATCATCCCTATCGTCAGTATCACCATCATTTTTAGCAACACTATTTCCGTAAATCGTCATCGCCATCATCAATCACCATTGCATTCATCACTGCTGTCATCATTATTACATATCATAATATTATTATTACCTTGAACAAAACTTAAAAGCAACCTTAATATATCCCTTAAACCCTGAAGTACAACTCCTGTACATAGAAAAGCAGCAATTAATATCCTTTCCAGTGGTAGTCCTGGTGATCCTGTGCTTGGCCAGACGAACTAGGAAGGCCATCTCATATCCTGATCTCGAGAGGGAGGTCGTGAAGGAGACGCTAGGAAGGACGGACGTCGAAGGATTCGGGGAGAAGGACGTCACCAACTTCGACTTCAAATTTCTGCAAGTTACCCCCGATGGGCAGCTTCTCACGG